GGCACATTGTAGGACTGTCACCCCCATGGATCGAATGGTATTGTCCTATTGTTAAACGCTAACCAAAATTAGTAAACAACATGGCGGACTCGACTCGCCGGAATGCCCGGGCGTCGATCATAAAAAGTGTGGATAGCTGCTCGAATTCGCCACCCCAGTTCAAATTATGAGCATAAACGAATATTATACAGTACAAGGATTGCTGCCGCTGCCCCGCGCGTTAGGTATTCCCCCCTGTTCGCCTCCGCGCGTGCCCGGACACTCCCTCGCGTGTCCGGGCGTTAAATAGTAGGACCCAGAGGGAGCACTGCAATCTATGAGTGCCACCAAGATAGGGTTCTCCCTACCAGGGTGTGGAGTTTTTGATAAGCTAAAATGGGCCATTCTATGGCTTCCTTGGGGCCAAAATTACTATTAGACAGGTCACAGTTGAAGACTGTGGCCACATGTGATCCCTGGTCAATCAGAATTTTATGGTTGCCAGAGGATCTGCTCCATAATGTATGAGGGGCATGAGGCCGCTGCGCCCATGTTCCCTTGTTTAAAAAAATCCCTGCAGAGAAAATAGCAAAATTAAAACCTAGTGAATAATTAATGCATTTACAGTGTATCCTTACCTGGTTGCTTATCCACTGTAGTAATGTCACACTCTTGGATAAATCTTCCACGCCATCCGTGGTGTTTTCAGCGCGAGTCAAACATGGTAATAAAGGTAGTTTTAAAAGTAATGCCAGCACACTTCTAAAATCATGTAACATGGAGAAATATTGAGCCCTTGTCTTCAGGAACTCTTCAAAATTCTGACGGAAAATATTCGATCTTTGTTGAAAAGCACTGAAACAGATAAGTTTTGGTAGAGTCAGTCGTGAATGAATCATCCTGTTTGACAGAACCTCGCCTTTTAAAAATGGTCGAAGATTAAAAGAATAATTCACCTAAAAGGACTGAGGAGAGATATATGCTGAAAAATAATTTTGCATATGATCAATTTTTATATTTTTTGAGCACGTCTTTTTAGCTCAGATTGCAAAAATTTTGAGCAAGCAGTCACTTGTCTCAACGGTGTACAGATTTGCAGAAAACCTTATAATGATTTTCATAATTTTATCATTCATGATTAAATACAGTGGTGACTTAATACAAAAAACTTGGAGAACTACAACATTTTTTCAGCCTGATAATTCCGAATAAGTTGAAGCTTACCACTGATTTTAAGCGAGTTCAAAATGAATTCATATTTTTCCCTACTGGGCATGTTACTGCACATATATGCAATGCATTATGAGAGATAACAGTAAATATTGGTGATAGGAGTTATCACATTATATTACCATATTATTAAATATTAATTTCATTAAATGTTTATTTATTAAGATTAAGAATCATATCAATAATAATTCATTGTCTGGTGGCCACCATTTTTTTTTAGTTTAAAAAAAAAAAAAATCTTCCATTCAGTCTAAACATCCCTAAATGACAAAACATAAATAGATTCAGAAAATTTACAAATTTACAGAAATATAAATTAAGTTTGTATCTGACCGAAAAACACCTTATCGATAATATTTATAAAACATTGACGACCAATGACGAACAAACTCACTATGTGGAGATGTTTTTTCAATTTGGTACAAACTCAATAAGTTGCTTAATGAAGTGACCTACCTGCTGATATCTTCTAAATTAGCCACTACAGCAGCCCAGCCTTGTTGCTGTAAATGCTGATCATGAACTAGACTCTCACAACAGATGACTTCATCTTTTGCCAAGTCATGCATTTGCTGCAAGGAGAAAAATATTAAAAGAAAGAAGAAAAATATTAAAATATGAATGACATGACAAAGTGTTACTATTGTGATTAATCATTCAAAGATAGAGTTAACGACGACGACGATGAGAACAAGATGACTGGATACTCTCAGATTAGTATAATTTACAGCATGGATCGACACAGTAAAATCTGTGTATATGGTCTTTATAGACAGGTGGTCTCTATATGGAAGTTTTTATTTTTTTATGAATCATAAACTCTACATTTGACAATTATTGAACAGAAAATAATCAGATTGTACTGTAAATAGCAACAAAAACAACTTCATTTGGGTCAAAATTAAACAAGTTTTACTTGGGGATATTATTTAAATCATTAACAAAGGCGAATCAGCAAAAATATAACTTAACCTTTTTGCCACCAGTTCTCTCTTTTCATCACAAATTCACAAAACATTTATATTCTGCACTTTACCTTCAGAAGATTAGGGCAAAAATAGTCAAATGTTTTTAGTAAAAAAGTGAAAATTGACTCAAATTTTGTCTGTTGGCTCCAAAATTAGGGTTCATTTCCAGAAATATTGAAGAATATAAAGAAAAAAAGTGCAGAAAAATGAGACGAGAAAGTCTGGTGGTGAAAAGATGGGCACATAAGACAGACTATCTTTATACACTGATAGCGAATTATGCCTTGGGACTGCCTAAAAGTGGTCACTGTAGGCCACTATTAAAATATAATAACTGTTTCCCAGAGGTGTCAAATTCATTCAAACTTGTTCTGAACATCTCATAGCCAGAAATTGAAAAGTGCCTGTCAAAAATGAAAGATATTATTTACTGGTCTGTAGAGATGACCTGCTATTTTGTAAAAACTAGTAATTTTCAAACAAAATTTATCATGTCAAATAAAATTGGGTACCTGTCTAAAGTGTGGAGTGACTGTCTAAAATGACAGGCAGACAAGTGGCTGGCTAAAATCCTGTATACTTGAAAACAAGACAACTTACCAAGGACAATTGTACTCTGGATATAACAGTTTCATATGTAGCAGGCATATTGAGAGAGCCTTCTACTTGATATTTGAGATCACCGTCAGACCCACCATACACACTAGGAGACGGTGGTGATGATGACTCTATAGTACTCTTACTGAATAAATAAATTGGATTGGTATCCTATAAGAAAACAAATCAAAATTTTAATGATATGTTTCGGTGATTAATATTGGAGTAAAATGTGCATATTTTTGACCATTGTGAAAGTGGAAATCAATGATAAACAACTAATTTTGCAATTTTATTTTTCCCAAAGAGGCGTAATATTCTGCTCAATCTGGCACAGGGTGAGCTAAAATTGTCATTTACATATCTTTTCGAGGAGGCTAACCCTGCTAAAGCACATGATTTTTGGAGCTGAGTATCCTGGGCACTAAGTCAGACAAGTATGGTATTTGTATGAGAATGAGGAATTCTTAAACATTCAGTATACAATAAATAGGATTTGTTTGTTTATATGCACTTCAATTAAATACATGTATATGTCACTTATAAGAGTATAATAATTGAAATGTACAAGTTGAAGAATCTTTTTTGAACTTAGATCTCTGTCATTTTACATAACCACGTGTGCCACTATTTAATAGAGCACTCCAAGTTACAGATAATATGTTTATTATCTTTATGTTACACTGCTAATTATCAAAATCAATTCACTCACAGAAATAAGACACTAGGCAAGTGGAAAAGGCTGATATTGTAGAAATAAAAATGTTCATGCGAAGTTTTGTATTAGTAGTGATTTTGAACAGTTAAATCTCATTTCTTTTGGCCATTAAAGCTAGGGAGCCTTAATTCATAATTAGCAAAAAAATTAGTGTAACTTCTCACTGTTAATCAGTCAAGTTTAAAATCGACCAAGGCATGTCAGATATATAAATCTAGAACTGCTCGGAATCGTGAAGTACTAAACTGGGAATAAAACACCAACAAGGCTAGGATTATTTGTAGAACAAGCTTTCTAAACCCATTGTACACAAGAGACAAGATTTGACTTACAGTGCCTGCGCTGTAACTGCAAACCCGCATGGAAGGGTCTAAATTTTCGCCACCGCTAATCAACAAAACTTGTTTATCAACCGATATTTGGTAATCATCCGATATGGCATCCTGTAAATGTCTTACACTGTAAATTAAAACAATACTGGAATAAACACACATTATCAAACAATTTCATTAAAGGGGAACCGATACTATAAATAGGGGCAAGATGGCCACCGCAATTAGTATGCTAATCCGAACCAAGCCGCTCACATCATGGCGGGAGCTCCGGGAAATGTGCCATTTGCGATGTTTAGAGATCAAGCTGTGATTCCAAATACATTTCTACAGGGGCATGAATACATGTATGTACGCTAGCGTTTACACTCATCTGGTTGGGGTTTTGATATACAAAAGTTGTTGTTTTCGGTCGAAACGTGCTGCGACAAGTAAAAAATCATGTATGCAAAATGCCTGTCAATCACAGTTTGAGTAAGCGAGCATAATAAGCATTCATTTACTTAGTGGACAGAGGCGGAGTCAATTACCCATGAGCATGTGGTGCAATCCATGGGATTGAGCGGTTCCATTTATCCAAACACACCATACATAGTAGTTCTAGTATAACCAAGTCTCTACTACTCTGGTGTCATTATTTGATGGTCATTTTCAAATAAGCATGTTAAAGTTGCACTCTAGGCATGTTTCAATTCTGCTACTCTCACCGCCTAGTGGAATACACTATATTATGTTCTTTTATTTTCAAAGACTTCAACAATAACAAATTTTATGCCACCCCTAAAAGAATACTGGTACTCAAATATATTTAAAGTTGGGGAGTCTACGCCTGCGCATGTGTCAGATGGCCATAGCATGTCATTGTTTACAAACAAGCGTCTACCCATGAGCCTTTGTGTTTTTAGCGTGTATTGTTATCATCGCTTTGGACTCAATTCCCGTGTGTGCGCAGGTGACGACTCTCCCGTTTTAAAGTCAGCGATAAACAACTACTGGTACTAGTACCATATTTGCTCTATTAGTGAGCTCTATTAGTATGTGCTCATGGAAATTGCAAAGCTTTTCTATGATGTATATGCGTTTCTGTTGAAGATTCACTTCTAATAGAGCAAATGCGATACATAAGTTTTATGTTTTTAAAAAAACTTACCTCTCTACAGCAAGATTCATATCAAATGTTAGCATAGTGCCAGTGTCAACAAGGAAGACATACAGCATCTTGACGGGTAGTGTATAGTACAGATTTACAATGGAAAGTCTGAATAAAGTCTCTTTCAATTGTTCAGTTTGAAATCCAGCACTTCAACAGCAAAGCCCAAAGACACATCAGTTGACTGATACGTAATTACAAACAACTGTACAGTAACTAATACTGATGATTATTCATTTATACTTATTTCAGATTTTGATATTTTCAGAAATCGCATTAAATTTAGATGTTTAGTTATAAATTGTATCAAAACAAAATTGTATCAAATTGTATCTTAAGGTTGTTGAGTTTAGTGGTTGTACAATATTCTATTTAGCTCTGGAAGAACTATATCCTTGTAGTGTCTGCTTTGTTTTCTTTATAGCCCACAAGTTTTATATGCTGTCGTTGCCAGTCCAGTTATGGCCACCAAGCTGACATATCTGCTGAGACAAAAATATGAGGAAAGCATATCAGTACTGTAAACATTGCAAAAGACAAATTTTGCGGAGAGTGACAATTTCTTTGGGGTCATACGATATGAAATGTCAGGGATATTTGCGAAAATGTTGTCATCACAAATGTGATAAAATCCTAAATTTGTGAAAATTTCTTGCAATGCAATATATCTCAGGCGCCATAATATTTGTCAACATACTGTAAAATACTTTATTTTAGCTGGAATTAATTTTTGCTGAAAAGACATTTTCGGTGTTTTGTATGGAATTTATTGTCACTGATTTTTGACAAGTTGTTACTAACAGTAAAAACGTATGGTACAGATAAATATTATTCAAATACATACATGATAAAGCCGTAGGTAAAAGTGGTGGACTGTAACAGATGGTATCAAGTTAGTATTACTAGTACATGTATACGGATCATGGCTAGAGGAGGTGAACACACTGACTCAGCGATTAATTAATGTGACAACACATTTACACCAAATTGAGTCACCTTGGTAAGATTTAACCAATCAGATGACAGAACAGCTGTTGTTGACCGTCCGAGGTCATATAAAACGTACGTGTTTCTATTTATTTTCAAATTGACCAAAAAATAAAAACATTGACCTTACTTGGCAGGGACTATGTCACACCACTGATTTAAAATGCAGACTGCGTGGCTACCCCGAGGGGCGGGACAGATCGTGTAGAGAATGGTGATCGAATCGGGCGACAGTAGACGACTCGTCGGTTGGTAAACTATAATAAATCGAGTTGCGCTGCAATGTTCAATAAGGGCGACCTACAAAAACAGAATTCTTGCTCATAGTCATGTGGTTAAGTCATGATTAAAGTCAGCAGACATTAATTTCCTGTAAATCGTAAACACACGAGCAATTTACCTTGTGCCGTCATCTTCTAAAATATACACAACTTCGCGATCGATCACGACGCCATATTTAAAGCACCCCTTAGCCTCGTTGAATTTTAATTCAATATTGAAATTATTCAAGAGATATAATAGTGGCATTCAATAAAATGTATTACAAGATATCGAAATGAGTGGGAAACTTGTTTATTATCCGAAACGGGAGGAAAATATAAGCAATATTAACATTGATATACATTTCTACTGAGTTACGTGGCTTTGCGCCCCCCCCCCCCCTCTGTGCCGTCACCTGTAGTCACACATTCGTTAATTTGTAATTCAATACTATGATAAACATTTAAGTGTAATATACAAATTAGGACATCAAAGCATAATATAAATGTTGTGAACCAACATTTTGTCAATATTTATGCATAACTATAACCCAATTCCTGGATCTTTTCGAACCATGTTACTAAAATAACACCGTTCATGTCAGCCCCAAACGCGTACTTTGTACGTTTACACGAGGAACTACCTGGTTTGCTGTTTGTTTTTGCTGGAAGTATCAGAACATGGGCGACCGATACAATATTCACAGCCAGTTGGAGCATTTACAGTCGAAGTACATCGGAACTGGACATGCTGACACCACAAAATGGGAATGGCTGACCAACCAGCACAGGGACAGTTTCTGTAGCTACATCGGCCATTATGACATGCTCAATTATTTTGCCACTGTGGAAAACGAAACAAAGGCCAGGGTTAGATTTAATCTCATGGAGAAAATGCTTCAACCATGTGGACCACCGCCGGATAAACCTGACGATCAGTAAAAAACACCAGAAGTTGCCTATCTTCAATTAAATGCACGTTACTTCATTATAACTTGGCTGATCATAAAACCGGTGTCTGTCTTGAAGACTTGACTACGTCACGAATGTCGCGAAGTTCAAAAACAGGAACTGACAATGGTTTCTTGGATTACCACAGAGCCCAAAACGACAGCAACAATTTGTCTTTGTTTTGATTTTCTGTTCCCGTTCGTCTTCGAACAAGTTTTAAGGACTGGACTGACTGAAAAAAGCTGTTGTCTACAAAGCACTTTGCCACAATGATTGCAGATTATCAGAATGAAACATTGAACTGGGGGGGGGAGGGGTAATTTTTATGGTCATTTCATATGATCATGGTTTGAGTTCTTTTTGAAGCTACATGCTCATAGCCACTCAGGTGGGAGGTTATTTTCAACATAGACCGAAGTCCATATAGGGAATATCATAGGACACCTAGCTATTCAGTGAAGTTCAAATTTTGTGTCATTGTTAGTTAATTACTACGTCATTAAATACATTTAAACTTGTTTTTGTTTTTTTAATTTTACAGGAAGTTATACATGATTTCCAAATAACACTGATCAGAGTTTTATAACAACACATCAAGGTTTTGTAAAATTTTTAAAGCGAGAGGGTCGTCACCTGTGCACACGTAGGAATTGAGTCCCAAGCGATGATAACACACACTGAAAAATGCAAAGGCTCAAGGGTAGATGCTAAAAAGCGGTTTGTTTGTAAACAATGACACGCTATTGCCATCTGACGCATGCGCAGGTGATGACTCCCCTGCTTTTAAAGCATCCACAGTTGACATGCAGCACAAAATTGAGATTCAGAGTACAATGTAATAATCATGCTTTGTAAACATCGCGTTTTACTCGTATCAAACGCAATGCTCTGCATTGACTGTGGTACCTTAGGTTTTCAGCAAAAGTAGAAATATTAAATGCATTACTTTTTGACAGTTTAATTTATCCAGAGTTGGTACATGCAGATCAAACTTGATAATTACATGGAAACAACTCCGTTAGTGACATAGGTGTTCCGACTACAACACAGAAAGTACTCTGAATCCATAGGTAGAGAAGCAATAATCGCATGATTCTGTTGTCACAGACCTCATCTGCAGTGAGTGATAACCCGTCAAAAATTAGACATGTGCTTAGAAAGAACTACACGTAAAAACTTACCTCTGTTTTGTAGTTTGCATGTAATGGTATTATGTCTTGTGGAGACATGACTAATAAGCACAGAATGTGAATGTGTCGTTTTTAAGGTTGGCACATTATTTTCACCTTTTATTTGGTAATAAATATAATAGTTTAATTGCATCATTTCATATTTACTGTACTTTATTGCTACCATGGCTGCAATTTCATGATCAAATTTTAGAAATATTAGTTATATTTTCAAATATAACCGAGGCTGCGTAGAAAGATGTCTTGTGTTAAACAATAATACTTCCACATAGAAGTTGTGATCAACATTTTGACCTTCAAATCTTGTCACTACTGGTATAGTGTTACCAATCTAGCTGTAGGGCAATTTGTCTGCAAAGATACGTCATTTAATCCTGAAAAAAAATTTTACAGGCTAGCCAACAATATAGCAGCCAGCACCATAATCTAATTCTTGCGTTTGAGGAGGAAAAAATGTCAATGATGCACAAGCTTTTTAGTTAACAATACAGGGACTTCTGTGCATGTGTTAGTGTGTCTGTTCGTTAGTTTGTTTCGTGCATGTATCTGGACCTATATCTTGGACAGTTTACATTCAAACTTCACACATACATCATGCATAATATTAAACATATGCACATCAATTTGTTTCACAATCTGATGGCCAAATGGCAGCTATTTTTGTACTGAAAAAATCATTGAAAACGAGCATTTTTGATATTCAGGAACCAGATCATGGAGGTTTACAGATGGATTTTGTTCAAACTTAGTCCTACATTGGACATTATTGGGCCTTGATGCACGTCATTTTGTTTTTCAGATCGGGTTTAAAATGACCGAATGACAGCTATTTTGTTTCAATGAATATGATTCTAGTGTCATATATCTGACATGCTTTGACTGATTATGTTCAAATTTTATATATTCATTAAACATGTCATAGATATACAGATGTATTAAAATGGCGAACAGTGGCCAATTTATTTTAATTACTGCTGTTCCAGAGCAATATCTCTCAAGTACTCCTTTGATGATCAGATACAAAACCGAATGTCAACCATTTTAATGTTGAAAATATTATAATCAAGCATCTGATTCTGAATCTAAATCTCTGACATGTTTATGTTCTAACTATATTACTATAAACAAAACTATATACCCTAAGTTTTATAACTAACAGGGACTATGCCATGCATGGCTTTTTAATCTTGAATGAATCATTTTGTATTACATAATGGCTATTTTCAGCAATTTATATTCAAGAAAGTGCCGTTATTTGGACAATCATGGTCATTTTGAATGAACCACTTGTGAGATCCAATGCAGTCCCTCACCAACATTACTAATCACGTGACAGATGCATCTGATTTGGTGGCGCTATATATCTATATAGCATATAGCATTTATATTGGCGATGTTCATACTAGGCTATTACATTATAGTACAGTCGCATTTCTCGAATGTATGTCCTCGTCCTCTTGAAGGACTTGGTACAGTGTGAAAACGGATAACAGATTTGGGTGGCGCCCTCACCGTCGCTTGCAATTATAAGTTTACCTACACGCTCGTCACCGATGGCGTAATTAAACGTCACTATTAATTCTGTCAAATTCAAAATTCCCCTCAACACTACCAGTATATAAATAATGGAATGAACGCACAGCTTTTGCACATGTGAGACAAAATTGGTACTGTTTAGTA